ATTGTCACACCTCTTTTAACCATTTCTAGTCTCGAAGGCGATAACTGGCTCTGTGGATCGTTTTTGCTGCAACGAATGTGGCATGATTTTCGTTCTCGCTTCAGCCCTGCGCACTCACCTCTCGTCTGTGCATGAAAGTGAGTCTCCGCTTCCCCTTTTTGTCCTAGCGTTTTATCCGGCAGCCGTGTCTGACTTCTTCTTAGATCCTTCGCTTTCTGCCCTCCCTCTCTTCACCCTCCACTGTCACTTGGCGAATAGCGTCGGTACGGGCACTCGTGTTAGTTCGTGGTATATGATAGTAGAAGATGACTAGACGGGATCTTGCCCTCCTTGTTGTGTCATCTCAACTATTTTTTATATTGCTTTTGCTTGATCCTTTATATGATGGAATCTGCTCAAAACGATATCCTCCATGGTCAAAATATGGCGAACCAAAGCTGATAAACGCTCTTGCATGTAATTCTCTGACGGAAGTGACAGCAATGTATGCCTTGTGAGGGCACTTCGATTCTGCACTTTTGTCCTCTAGTGGAGGTCTGCCTCGAGTTTTTTTTGCCCTTTTTTGAGGTCCATCAACTTCGAATGCGTCTTAAAAAGATGTCGTTAAGTAAAAGAGGCTGTTTGGAGATCGGTCAAACGACAGCGGTGCCTCAAAGGAACTCGTTGAGGAGATCTGTTGAGGACCGTCCTCTTCGGGAGCATTTGACTCTACGTCTGAGGAGGGGATCAAAAAGTCAGTTTCTTCGTCGGCTTTCGATTTACCCGCAGCGGAAGATGTTGTAGGGTGTGGTCGACTGGTTATCTGCTCGTTTTCATTGTCTGGTCTGCATCGTCATCAATGTCTATTGACATGCGGATACGAGCAATTGCAGCGGCCTTTAGTATTACCGGATGCGATTTGAGCATCCAGCTACGACGGCTGCCGGTTGCCTGGGGACGCGACTTAGGTGGTCGATAGGGCGAATCCTTGTCCTCCAAGTAGGAAAGTTGGTACAAGGTGACTTAGTCAAATGCCGCCTGTTTTTTCCAGCTCGCCGGCCCGTTTTACGTGCATCAACCGCAGATCGGGGTTCATTCAAGGTCGTGTGCGGTTTCTTGGCTTTACAGGCATGTAGGAAACGGATTTCAACGCACCTGCACCGCTCCGCGAACGAAGATGCAAAGAATCGACGTTCTGTTCTACTTCTGGCTGACTGACGTTTCTTTCGCGAAAGCGGTGCCTTAGGCAGGGACTCGTTGACATCTGTCGTCGTAGGGGACATAACAACCAGCTTGCTGGGTAGGCTCTCGCATGGGAGCGCCATATAGGCCACATTAAGAAGGAG